ACATTTCCATAAACTTCTTTGACATTCTTTGCGGCTACAGAGGCATTGTTTCCCTTCTTGTATTCAAACAGCATTAATAGCCGAATGTGTGTCTCGTCATGTGCCATCACTATAAAGGATTAGAGCATATAAAACTTTACACATTATATAGGCTACACTAACGTGACGTTTCATTTAACTATTATACGTGATGTACGTTTTTTAGGGAGTGGTTAATGAAAGTGTTCCAAACCGCGACATTAATTTCTTAACGACCTAATACATATTTAGTGGAAACACTTTGACTAAATGATAAAATCAATAATTAAAAACGTGACGGTAATAACTATCGATTTGTAAATTTTTAAAATATATTACCCGCTTTCTTTTGTTTCGCAAGTATTAAAAATGACAAGAAAGTTAACAAACTTTACTGTAATGACTTCCAACTAGTGATCAGGGTTCCATATCAACCAAATAATTTCATGATGGATTTCAGCTGAAATAAATACAAAATTTATATTTCTATGATTTAAAAAACTACTGAATATAAAAATGCCCTGTTGTTAAACAAAGACAAGAAGGCCAAATAAAATAATACACCATTTTATTGAAGTATTATGAAAATGTCACCTATTCCAGACTTAAATGGATGTCAGTTATACAATCTTTTTTTTTTCTTTGTACAAAACAAAAATATTTAAATCATTTTTCTCAGTAAGTCATTAATTTTTATGTCCCGATTTCCATAGTCTCCTCCTTCAGTAAAGCGTAGAGATTTCTTTGTCCAACCATTTTTGGGAGGGTTCAACTTGAACTTCCACAGGAAATTTGCTACTTTCTTGAAGTGAGGTCCGATAGTGTACAACTGATGAAGTAAATCCTCCAAACACACAATACCATATTTTCCTTAAAAAAAAAAAAGATGTGTGGTTTTATATCACAGTAGTATAAAATACATATCGAAACCATAAGTTTAATATGTAATGCTATTTTTTTTTTTATTAGCTACATATTTGTATAAAAATATTTGTACTCTGTCATCATTTCTTTTAAATAAAGAACGTACTCGAGGTACATAATATCATTTTTTGTTTTTTGGATAATTTTTAATATTAACAGTTCCAATTTAACAAACATTCATGAAGCCTCCAGTCTTACTGCAGTGTTTCATTCTTGTCAGATGTTATTTCCAGGGAGTTCTGACTGGTAACACTCCTACTCCTGCACTATCTTTCAAACCCAATTTCCATAATTAATTCAATACTTTATGTTGAGTGAGAAGTAATATTTAGCAAAGGACACTTTATTTTTCAGTAAGTATACACACTAATTTCCACCTTTCATTCTCTTGTCACATCAAGTATTATTGTCTCCATGACGTATCTTTTTTTGTGACTGACAGTTTGAACTGGTAGCCTTTATTAGCATATTTCCAGTTTTGGTCAGTGGGAAACCTTCTGATGACTTCTAAATGGTCTCTTTTTGATTAGTTGACTCAGTAAGCAGCCAGAGCAAAAAATAAAGTTAGTTTTTATAATTCATTTAATCTTCTTTAAAAAAATTGAAGTTTTATCATCGTATGACTTTTTCATTTTGCAGTATTTTATTTACCAGCATTAGTCAGTAATTCCTAAAAAATGTGTTTATGTCTACATCTATGAAGAATAAATTGTTTTAGTTTTGACCTTGAACAACTGAAGAACACAATGTGATAAAAAATATTTGGACGTAGTGTGAGTCAAAGAGAACCTTATATTTAATATGCTCTAGCTTCCCTACATCCCTCCTACTTATTTTTCACATCATGAGTGCAGCTGATTTTCTCAGCACATGCAATTTATGGAGTCACCCTACACCCCTGTGTAGATACATAATAATTTTTAATTTATGGAATCACCCTACGCCCCTGTGTAGATACATAATAACTTTTAATTTATGGAGTCATCCTACGCCCCTGTGTAGATACATAATAATTTTTAATTTATGGAGTCACCCTACACCCCTGTGTAGATATATAATAATTTTTAATTTATGGAGTCACCCTACGCCCCTGTGTAGATACATAATAATTTGTAATTTATGGAGTCACCCTATGCCCCTGTGTAGATACATAATAATTTGTAATTTATGGGATTTGTTTGCTCGTGGCCTTTTAATATAGTCATCATCAGAATAATTCAAGTTTGGTTACACTTATTAAAAAAACGTACAACTTCGTCTATAATGAAAGTTTAAAGAACTTAGTGAACCTTGTTGTTAATGTATTTCAATTTTGGACTACTTGTGACAATAGAAATATTTATTTTATGATTTAATTGAGAATATGTAGCATTATTAAATATTATAGAGCACATTATGTATTAGCTTTACTCATATCAAGACTAGTGTAAAATGTTACTACATGTGTAGAACCAATTTCTGTTGTAAAAGAACAAACTTACATTTTCACAATTTAACCTTTTTTGCTATTGGTTATTTCCATGTGTATCTATGTTTGTCATTATATTTTTGTAATTTTTTAATGTAATATTTAATCTAATTTAAAATAATTTTAATTCTGTTGCTTCATTTATTTAATTTTTAGATTTACTTTTCAAAATACAGTTTCACTTAATATTTTAAACAGATCAGAAGTTCTTACATTACGAACCTGGAAAAATGTGCATGTATATACACACACAAGTACATAAACTATGGGACAGAAGGGGCAAATGCCCCTGACAGAAATCAAACAGTAAAAATTAAGTTTCTTATATTAAAAAAATTGCCTTGCTATACTCAGCTGTTTTAGTCCCCACCCTCACCACTTTAAAACAGTCATGTATGAAAATGTTTTTGCCACCCAGACACTATTAAAGTATTTTGTTCACTCAGTTATAATTTTCATAAATATAAAAATACAAATTACAGTTTGTAAATAAAATTTTTTGTTAGTCCAAATAAAAAGCTATATCCACAACTCACCTAGTCGCTCTTCAATGAAAGCGTTGTCTGATAACGGGAAACGTCTGCCCATTGCCCGACCGTACCCTCTCTTGTAGATCAGTTCTCGTACAGTCTTTAGATTTGGATAGCTAGAAAAAAAAAAAAACCAAACAAACTAGATGCATTTCAATACAAAATAAACCTTGAAGTTTACAAGTACTTTCTGGTTAGTAAGATATCAGATACCAAGAAAAAGCAGATTACATGATTCAGGTTTTGTCAAAACTTTAATAAAAAGATTACAACATTTGAAAAGTTTTCTATGTGTTCATATCTTTATTCAACAAACAGTTTTTATGGTCAGAATTACACAAAAGTTAACAGTTTTTATGCAGGGAGAGGTAGATGATACAGTAAGAGGTAAGTAATTGAAAGAAATTTCTGTAGGTTAGGCAAGAGCTTTTGGTAGTGGGAAATTATATTTTTATGAGAAAAATATATTGCTAGAAGATATAAGGTCTGGGGGTGCTGAGACAGCTTTACTGTCAAGAAAATAAATGCTGATAAAAAGAAAACTCAAATCACATGATTTCAGTAAGAAAAAAAAATCAATTGGACTTCACAGTTTTTTCCACAAGTAGAAAGAAATGTAAAATACTGATCACTTGTAAGTAAAAAATTAACAAATGTACATATCACCAAACACTTATAAAACACACCTCTTTTAACAATGTTAAACACATTATATACTATTTCAAAGTATTATATTCTGAAGTCAATCTTTATACAAACACTCCTTTATATAATGTGAAACACTGTGCAAAATTGCATCATACATATAAATAGTTACTGTTTAACGATATGCATTTCTGCAATACACTTCAAGTTCCATATGTTATTTTTCCCACAATATACCATGAAATTATCAATTTACATACAAACTCAGTGGATAATTTGTTTAAAAAACTTCGCATAGCACATGGCGTCTCAGGTACATGCAATTTGGAGAAAAATACTACAGCAAATTGCTTAAATCTTGAGAAAGGCATTCAAAAGACTTTATTTTCTGTACAAAAAAAATATTTTAATACTATACTGAGTATTTCTATGAATTTGTAACCTTTAAAATTCCTTTCCTAACTAGATATACTCATGTAATTTATGTCTAAAATATGTCTTTACAGATAATTAAAAAAAAATCTTGGATATGGGTAGTGTGCACAACTTGAACATAAGTGCCACCATTTGGTTTACCAATCAGTCTGTCGTGCCACTGGTCAACATTAAACACAGAAAACATCCAAAAAAAAAGAGAGAGAACTTCAAATGCACTGAAAGTATTTGTAGTTTTTCATATAAGACGCCTCGTTCATCATAAAAGAATCGTGTCACAGTTTGTGTCACATGGGTGTAAGATCAAATTATTCCTTGGAACTAATAATAAGTATGCTACACATTAGTGTGATATATTTAACAAAACCTACCAAACTATTCCATAGAACTAATAATAGATATGCTACACATCAGTGTGATATATTTAACAAAACCTACCAAATTATTCCTTAGAACTAAGGAATAATTTGGTAGGTTTTGTTAAATATATCACACTGATGTGTAGCATATCTATTATACTTATTATTAATTCTATGGAATAATTTGGTAGGTTTTGTTAAATATATCACACTGATGTGTAGCAGTTCCAAGGAATAATTTGGTAGGTTTTGTTAAATATATCACACTGATGTGTAGCATATTTATTATTAGTTCCAATTGATAATAAGTA